AGAGAGAGAGAGAGACATGATGAGTGAACTCAGTTACATATACGTGGTTGAAGCTGCTGGCTATTGCGCTGATGAGCGCTGGGTGACTCAAACTCTGAATTTTTTTTTTTTTTTTTTTTTTTTTTAACAATACAGGACCTCATGGCCCGGCCTCCTTTTCCATTCTGGGGAGCATCAGTCGGGTTCATATTCCACCGGCAAGTCAATAGAGTAGTACATCATAATTACAAACACACGCTTCCTTCCGTTCGGCCGAAGGACCCCTGATCAGCATTGATTACTCCATCCGCATGGAGGATTGACTGTCAGCTTGCCGTGCTATACCCTTTCCTCTCGGGTCTGCTGCACAAAACCTGCCATTTAGGGCCCGAACACCAATAAAGGGTCTAGCCCCTTGAACAACCCCTCTGTCCCTCAACATTCCCTGAACCCCCCACATTTTCTGATCATGCATATAACTCAATTCCCTTTTTCCTGTCCACCCCTTGACATCTACCAATCGCCCTCTACCCTGTTTCCTCTGGTGCAGTCCAGTCCTAGCTCCGTCCATCTTGAGCAGTTACTATCTGCCAACGATCGTTTGTTTTAAAATGTTTCAACTGGCCAAAAACCCTTAGACCTTGAAGCCCCTGAGTGGTTACCTGATGATTGAGACCCTAAAACCCTAAACCCTCCCTCATTCTTCATTGTAATAACCTTTGTCTGTTGTACCTCTTCTAGAGACAACCTGATGACTGTGAACCAAGGGTACTCTTTGCGTTCTGTCATTCCTGTTGTAAGGTGTGTAAACCTGTCCCTCATCGATGTGGGGAAGTGTCTGCTCTGTCCTGAGTCAGCAAGTGTATCAGCTCTTGTTGCCCTCTCCCTTGTCCGACCGGGATCCGTTTTGCAGCATCCATGGCAGACCTAGGTCCCCTCCTCCCAACACCAATCTTAATCCTCCTTACCTCTCCTCTTGGCTTTCTTTCCTGGTGTCTGGTATCCCTTACTCCCTTCAACTCAGCTGCCTGTCTATTGCAGGCACAGTCTGGGTTCTCCTGCTTGTCTCTGAATTGTGCCAGTCTTTCCAGTAAATCCGGTCGTTCCGTAGCTCAGCCACCTTACCGTCCACTAACCACAGCCTGTTGAACTTTTTCCTAGTGTTTTCTCACAGGTCCTCGTCTTCAGGCATCGTCTGCTTTAACTTCTGCCATCTGCAGAGAATTTCAGCCTTTAGCATGGTTCTCTTCTCCACCCATACCTTCTCTCTTGGGTTGGACAACCCTTCTATGGATCTGCAGCATCTCTCTTTCCAAATGATCCATAACATCACCTTCCTGATCAGGCCGAACCGTAATCTCTCTGTCTTCTTGAGATGGTCATTAATGTTAGTCCAGAGAAGGATTTGGATGGCATGTTCGGGGAAGGGCACATGGAAAAGGGAGTCCCAGAGGGCTGAGGCTCGTGTCCAGTAATCCGCCGCCTCGCTACATTGAATTAGACAGTGTACCACATCTTCTTGTGCCCCTTCTGCACACACGGAGCATAGGTCCGAGCTGGTGGGATCGTTTTTGTGACGTCGTGTATGCAGCCATTGGTTTACTGGCAGCGCAACGTATGTGATAAGCCATTGAAGGCTTCTGGTTTTAATCGGTCTGATAGTCTTAAATTTCTTCCACGGGATCTGTGAAAGTTTGTCAGCTTCCTGGCCTATTAGTTTCTTCCATCTGGCCTTGATTATAGGATCTGGGTCTTTTGTTTTAACCAGGAGTTTGTATCCAAATTTAACTGTGTAGTTCTCTATGGGGACATRAACCCTGATATTCCTTTCCTTRTYCGGTGTCCAGGCCCACTCTGCCGGGTCGAATTCCAGAKTATGTACTGYCGTATCTGGKCTRAA